AATGGTGATATTGGTGTTCTGTTTTGTTGCAGTATTCACCTTTCTTTGTAACATGATGTTAAGAGCCACAGTAAACAGCAAGAAAATCTTAACTAGAACTCAAGCCATCATTTTAAATGCAAGAGTTTAGCTAGTTGGATAGCAGCAGCTCCTATTCTGTAGCAAAGACAATATAGAAGCAGAGACAAAGTGACAGGGCCGAAGGACAGAGAGAGCAGGAGGAGAGTGGAGGTGAAGCTGTAAGCATGGAGTAGCTCAATCTGTAGGAGGGAGTATATGGAAGGAGTGTCATAGGTGTTACACTGGGGATATGACTTTTTGAAAGGGCTGATGTTGATGTTGCTTAATACTATCATGAGACTGTCACCTACTGCTACTGATCACTCACTGTCATACAGTGCTGCATAAGCTATTTGACATTGTTTTCATGGCTAGCATATCCAACGAAGGTTAAAATGAAGGGCAACTGGACTTGGTTGAAGCTACTGGAAGACGTTTCGTCCCTTATCCAAAGGACTTCTTCAGTTCTGACTGACTGGCAGGGAAACTCAGCTATTTAACCTCAGTGGGGTCGTTATCTCGGGTCATCGATACCGCTGGTTCGTTAGTGTTCCTTGTTGCTGTGACGACAGTCGTTACAGTCGTTGAGACTACCTGTGGCCAAGACTGAACGACCATCGTTGGTATCTTCACCTGAGGCCAAGACTGAACGACCATCGTTGGTATCTTCACCTGAGGCCAATAGGTTACGTTTGTTGAGTTTCCTGGGAAGTGATGAAAGGACAGCATTGTAAGTGGGGGATAAGTGGTGGCGTAGACCCCCTCCCCTGTTCAATGACGGCTTCTCAACCCTGGTGTAGATGGCTTCCTTGACACCTCTTTCAAACCATCCATCTTCTCTGTCTAAAATGTGCACCTGGTGGTCCTCAAACGAGTGTCCTCTGTCCTTCAGATGTAAGTAGACAGCAGAGTCTTGACCTGAGGAGTTGGCCCTTCTGTGTTGAGCCATGCGTTTGTGTAGTGGTTGTTTAGTCTCCCCAATATACAGGTCTGTGCATTCCTCACTGCATTGGACCGCATACACTAGATTGCTTTTCTTGTGTTTGGGTGTGCGGTCTTTGGGGTGTACCAGCATCTGTCTTAGTGTGTTCTTGGGTTTAAAAAACACAGGGATGTTATGTTTGTTAAAAATCCTCCTGAGTTTCTCTGATACTCCAGACACATATGGAATCACAATGTTGTTGCGTTTGACCTTCTTTTCCTCATCCCCCGTAGTTTTGTTCTTCTTGGATTTTGTGGCTGTCTTCACAAAAGCCCATTTAGGGTATTCACAGGCTGTAAGTGCCCCCTTCAGGTGGTTCTGTTCCTTCTCTCTGGCTTGGGCGCTTGTTGGTATGTTTTCTGCTCTGTGGTGCAGTGTTCTCATGACCCCTAGCTTGTGCTCCAGTGGGTGGTGTGAATCGAAGAGTAGGTATTGGTCTGTGTGTGTGGGTTTTCTGTACCACCAGGTGCACATTTTAGACAGAGAAGATGGATGGTTTGAAAGAGGTGTCAAGGAAGCCATCTACACCAGGGTTGAGAAGCCGTCATTGAACAGGGGAGGGGGTCTACGCCACCACTTATCCCCCACTTACAATGCTGTCCTTTCATCACTTCCCAGGAAACTCAACAAACGTAACCTATTGGCCTCAGGTGAAGATACCAACGATGGTCGTTCAGTCTTGGCCTCAGGTGAAGATACCAACGATGGTCGTTCAGTCTTGGCCACAGGTAGTCTCAACGACTGTAACGACTGTCGTCACAGCAACAAGGAACACTAACGAACCAGCGGTATCGATGACCCGAGATAACGACCCCACTGAGGTTAAATAGCTGAGTTTCCCTGCCAGTCAGTCAGAACTGAAGAAGTCCTTTGGATAAGGGACGAAACGTCTTCCAGTAGCTTCAACCAAGTCCAGTTGCCCTTCATTTTAACCTTCGTTGGATAACTATGACCTGGATGACTGAGAATCTTCATAGACATGGCTAGCATAGTTTCCTAATGCAGTCTTAAATTCGGCTAACTGTCCTAATGGCTAACTAGGTGAGGTTATTTTGTCAGCATCGCGTTGGCTAATCCCACACTGCTTTAAAAAAGACTTGTTGACTACTTGTACTTGAGTATTAGTTGTGTGGCCACCTCTAACCATAGTGGAGTCTGTAAATAAGTGCAAATGAGTACTGGTACACTTATCAACGGCAAATACCACTCAGCTGGTTTGGGGGAATATTACAGTAGGTACATCCTTTGGAGAGGAAACTACCTCTGAGGTAATTCGGCTCCCGGTAGAACCCTGTCAGGGCACTGAAGTGGAGCAGACCCAGAACTACTCTCATCAGCTGTTGGCTGTAACTTAAACACTAGCAGGACTAAAGTTATGGTACGGCTGTGTTAAAACTATAGCACAACATCACTGCGCTGTAATAATGTTATACTTTATTAAATGTCACATAATTAACAAAATAGACTACTTGTTCCTCCTAAGTCATATAGTAGATTAGGTCAAATGAACGAAGCATCTGCTGCTACTAGTCCTATTATTGTTATCATTAATATTAATTATTGCCAGTACCATCATTCACTTTCTGTGCCACTACTACTTTTGCTGTTTGTATTTCTTTGTAGAAATTGTTTTGGCTGCTCCCTCCCGAGCAGAGTCACGGTTCTGTTCACGGTTTCTCTTCCTCCTAAAAGGAAGTTTTTCCTTGCCTCTGTTGCCAAGTGCTTGCTCATGGTGGGAATTGTTGGGTCACTGTAAATAATATAACAAGGAGTACGGTCTAGACCTGCTCTATATGAAAAGTGCAATGAGATAACTTTATGAATTGGCGCTATGTAAATAAAACTGAATTGAATATAATTTGAAGGTCTGATGACATTGATCAAATGTGTCTTGTCATTCTGGGTGGTACACTAAAAATGGTGAAAGATACTGTACGGTACATTTAAGCATTGCACTTTATGTGATCCTCTGTTGGAAAAATGATTTGTGGATTGTTACCTATAAGTCATGGCAGTGGTTTTGTTCACGGTATTTATGCAGACTTCTCAGAGTTAATGTGGTATAGATTTATTGATGTTAAAATGCTACACATAGCACCTTTGCATGTCAGGGGTCCACAGTACGGAGTCACTGACAAAGGTTGGAAACCTCTTTCCTGTCCAAGTGAATACAAAACTGGAGGGCTCAGAGAGGGAGACGCATGAGTGGTCAGAGCTAGATGCTTGCAAGATGTTTGTGTTTTTCACTGTGATTGAAGAAATCCTTTATTTCAAAGGAAGAAAATAATACATTTGAAACAAGCAGTAAAAGGTCACAGATCAAATCTGTAACATCTACACGATGTCCTGTTAGCATGTTAAAGTTACAGTGGCTAAAACCAAAGACAAAATTAAACTCTCCAACATTATGGCCTATTTAACAAGTCTCAGTAGTATGGCACCATTTTCAGGCTGTCATAAGAGTCCAATGTTTTGTGATGAGAGTACTATATACAATAAAAAAAAAACTAAACAAATATCAACAAAAGAGTTTGATAAGCATGTGTTTTAAAAATAGTGCTTGAAACGAGTGACTTGACATAAAACTATGTACATACCTGTATTTGTCAAAAGCTTGTTTGCCTTTATATACACATCTTTTTTTCACATTGTTAATAAGTCACATCAATCATATTAAATATAGCAAACATTTCTGCTGCAGTAAAAAGAAAGGGAAAGTCAATTTGAATGACATGTAAGCACGTGTGTATCACATTTCAACATAAAACATATAACAATAATATTAATACCAATAGTAATGACATTATTTGAACAATTAAATGGAAATCTCTTTTCAGCCTCTCTACTTGATGAAATAATTCTTCTCTGCATCATTTCCCGGTCATTTTGCTATGTACAAGAAACATTCAGAACGGTATCCTTCCAGTAGAGATCTCTTTCTAATACTCACATTTGGTTTTTCAGTGTTTGCCATTCTGTAACTGCTCCAAGATGCTGTGTAGACCTGAAATTGCTGACCATATCACCAACGCAGATATATCACCGAGTTTTTTTTTACCATTTGACAGGAAAAGGCCCACATTTTAGGGAAATATGTTTGTTTTCTTACTTAGATGACAAGCCAGGTGAAAATATTGGTATTATGTCATCTGTGTGAATCCAGGAGGTTTTTTACATAGATTCTTCAACTCTGGGTAGGACAGCAAACAAGATGTCAGACCTTTCCTTTAAAAACTGGTTTGATTGTACTGTAATGGAGTTGGGTCTGAATTCACTAGATTTTCACTGATTCCCTCATGCAACCACTGCATAGTCAGAGGATAACAAAACATTACATTTCCTTATTTCTTTTTTTTTTGTACAAGAGAATGTCTTACACATCAATTTCAAAACAATCAAGAATGTTTACTTGCTGTAGGACATGAATAAATACAGAAAATAATCGAGTCAAGTTAAACTTTTAACAATGACCATAATAAAAAGAAAAAACTCATCCAGAGGTCCAAGATTATCAACATTATCAACAACAACAAAAATAATAATAATTCAAGTGGCGAAAACATAATGACACTAACAATTGTACAGAAGTGTTTGTGCTTGTGAGGACATTAACCCATCACCTGAAATGTACCTCAAAATAATAATTCAAATGCAAACTGGTCCATTTTGCATCAGTAGCTTTATAGATAAACAGCATCTGTTGTTTTTATGAAGCCCAGCATCCCTGACTACAGATCTGCATTAAGTGGGTGCTTGAAGTAAAGTGCAGGATATATTCAGCCATAATTTCCATATTCAATACTTTTTTCAAACATATATAGATCAATCTCATCATTGACAAGTAAATCTGTTCAACAATGAAATTGGTGAACACTGAGAGATTACATTCTTGTAGCATGACGGAAAACTATGAGATGCTGTAATCACGTTGGAGTTGAACTGACAGGGACAGAGTGTGTGTTTATGTGTGTTTTATGGTGCGTTCAGATACAACGCGAATCAAAATAACCTGACCCTAAAAATCAGAAAAAAATGTATAATAATAATCTAATAATAAAGTCACATGATAAAGAACTGCATCTGATGTTTGCTCATATACTAATATTCCAGACTCTCTCCTTTCTGCTCCCGTGTCTGTACATTCATGAAGTGGAGAAATACAACAATCTCTCATTGCAACCTCATTTTGTCAGCATCTTTTTGCCTTTTTTTGCATTTGACAATTTAGGGCTGCAACCAATGACAGATTTTATTATAGATAAATCTGCTGGTTATTTTCTTGATTAATCACTTTGTATATAAAATGCCCAAAAATGATCATTATCGGATATAGAGTCAAACATGATGTTTACAGATGTCTTGTTTTGAAAGATAATAAATCAGCTTCTCAATAAGTCAAAGAAAATCAGCAAATCCTGACATTCACAGAAGCTGGAACCTGCAAATGTCAACTTGAATTTTTTTTTCTGGCTTATATTCAGCGTCCACTGGTATTAATAACCTAACCACCAATAACCATTTTTAAGAGATTTGTTCCTTGTGTTATCGTGTTCTTTCATTACATCCAAAATATAAAAAAAATATCTCACATTAAATGATAGATGTATAATGTTTAAATATTGAATAATAATTAATTAAATTAACCCTTAAAAAGGGTATACAACTATTTATAATATTTGTTGCCTCTTAATCTAAATTGTGCTTCGTGTTGTATCTGAACGCATGTTTGTAAAACTCAGCTTTAAAAACTCATATTTACCTCTCTATATTACTTATTAAAATAAACTCAACTGAGCACTCCTTACTGCATTATTGTAAACAAAGGACTCATATGATAATATGACTTGAAATATAACACAATGATCCCCTCCTCCCATAAAAGAAAATTTCAAATTCAAAAGAAAGAAAGAAAGAAAAACATATAGGCCTACGTTTATTAAGCTTTGTTTGTTGTGTTATCTAGATGTATAAGGCTGGTCCAGTCATTGTGTGTTTCTGGCCATTAACAGTGTCCTGCTGCATGACTGTTCCCGGTCAGCTGGTCAGAGGTAGAAGCCGGTGGCTGGTGGGTCGGGAAGGCTGGACAAAGTCTCAGGGGCGGGCATCTGCACAGTAGGGGGCGCTGCTCCGTTCCTATTGGGCAAAGCACAGCCCCCTGGGTAAGTACTGTTCAGGATGCAGCCATTCTCCATCTGCACAAGGCAAGAGGACATCGTGGATACAGACAGCTGGAAGTAACACAGTAATATACGTAGTATGGTCTTAAAATAGAACCGCTGTTATGTAGATTTGAATCTCTCAACATACAGTTTTGTTGCTGGTAGCTGTTATTCTCTAGCAGAGAAACATATAGAAATACTATTACAAATCAAATGTTCTGCTTAATAAACTGGTATTTATTGGATAGATTTTGAACAGTCTTGGTCTTGGTAAGGAGAAACTCTGCATTACATTAACTAAACCTGATACATCGCTTCTTCTTCTGTCTGCAAACCCTTTGTCTCTGAAACAAATAAAAACATCTTCCATTTTTTTGTAGGTCAGAGATACAAGAGAGAGAGAAAACAAATTGCGCCAGCACATCATGTCTTTTCAATCTTCAAATCTTTGAGCAATGACCCTAAATGAACAAAACAAACAAGACACAAATGTAGAGGAAAGACAGCTCTGTGCCTCTTCTTATGTTTCTGCTTTGGATTGGCAACTATTTTCCTATTCCAGCATATAGACATATTAGGCCTGCCACCACTAATTAATTTCATTTGATTCAGTTCTGCTGAAGTATAATGTAGTATAATGTATAATGTACTGTACTGTACTATATAACGTTTGAAATATGTTATTGATATTTTCTGTAAATTTGGGTGTATGTTATTAATTTGATAAGACAAAAGTATGTAAACCGGGTGCCATACAGTAAACTATTTTACAAACATTTTTAAGAATGGGATAAATACTGCAATGTAAGTACACCTCTGACTCACCCTCTGTATGTCCTGAATATCTACAGAATTTGTCATTAGTTATTTAGGTATTTAAACATGTAATGTTGGTGTGAAAAGTGAAAAATTTGAGCTGAGCATGAAAATTATGCAGATCACGTAAATGAGATTCGTCCTGCCTGCACTAAAATACACAACATCCCATTCAAAAGCCACGACAATTCACTAAGGACCAAAGTAGGGCTGCAACTAACGATTATTTTCATCATCAATTAGTTGGATCTGTAAAACATCAGAAAGCTGTTAGACAATGCAAATCACAATATTTTATTGAGCACAATGTGACGTCAATAAATGTCTTGTTTTGTCCGACCAACAGTCTGAATTTTACTATATTGTTGCACCATGAAAAGCAACAAATTCTTGCATTTGAGGACCCCGGAATCAGCAAATGTCTGGCATTTTTACTTTTATTTACTAAATATTATAATACCAATTATTTAAATGATTAATTGATTATTAAAACAGTTGCCAGTTAATTTTATTTTGATCAGCTAATCGACTAATCATTGCAGCTCAAGACCAAGGTATAAGACAGACCCCTACAGCACCACTACTAGTGTGGCTACTAAAAAACATGATAGTAATAATGTATGATAACACAGTGAAGATTTTGAAAAGGTTTGAGAACCATTTTCCCAACAGTATGGGTTATTGAGTAGCTGGATACTATGCTTATATTACTTTGTTACACATAGTTTTCCCAAAATTTAAGAATTAACTTCCCAACTAACAAAAATTTTACCAAGTGATTCTGGCACCACAAGATGTCAAGGTGTTTCAGCAACCTCACCTTATTGGGACTGGGCTCATGAGGGATCTCAGTGGTCACTATGCCATAGTGGTCCAACTGCCGGCAAGGCTTGCTCACTCCTAGGATCTGCTCCAGGGAGGCGTTGGGGGGAGGGCACTGTGTTAGACTGGAGATGACCTGGGCCAAAGGGACTGTGATCTGCTCCTGCTGCCGTTTATGGTTCATTCCCTGGAACGATGAAACTGTGGTCTCAGCCCCATGCTGTTGTCCACTACTCCCAAACAAACCATTTCCACTTATAGCGTAATCCGGATTGTCAATATCAGGCATGCTATAATCCATGCAAGAATCTAGTGAGGTGTTTGTCAGAGGTTTTTGGCTGTTATCAAGGCAGGGGTTGCTGCCTAGACTCTCCCTGAATTCATAGTCCTGCCACTGGGATTTCCCCACTGAATGCTCTGTGCTGGAGATGCCACACAGTCCGTTGAGGTTGGCTGCCTTCTGTTTGGCATGGCACTGCTGTGACAGATGGTTCTGCATCATGGGTTGTTGCTGCTGCTGCTGCTGAAGGTAGCGTGGATGCGTTTGCTGCTGGTGAAGCTCACCATCCAGTTCTGAAACCTTGCCATTGAAAATAGTCTGTTGTGTGTCACAGTGTCCCAGTGGTATCCCTGCACTGAGTAGAATGTCTTGGGCTGTCCATTGTCCATTCGGAATCGATTGATTTTGCCCCAGCAGCTCACCGTTGACTATCATGTTAGCCAAATGGTCACTCTGCTGGCCCCAGTCATCTGCCACTTTACCTGGACGTAAGTTGAGGTGCTGTTGCATCTGCTGGGAGAGCTGGACGATGGGAGCCTGCCCCACCTGGGAGCTCTTATGTTGGGGAAACTGCAGTTGCACATTAGTGTTAGAGGTGGGATCGCTCTCAGGTATTAACACTGTGGTGGCTGTTGCTGAGGCAGTACTGGGAGGCACCTGTCCTCCATGCTCTGTGGAATCAGTTTTACCCTCTATAGAGTCATAGATATATGACAGAATCTCATCGTTTGTGAGCAAGTCGTCCAATGTGGGCACACGTTCAGGGTCCATCTCAACTCTGATCATCCGCTCATCCAGCAGCAGCAGCTCCAGGTCTTCTGCACTTAGCCCCAGCCCTTCCAGAGCTCCAAACAGCTCGCCATTCGAACAAACAGCCTCTTCTGAGTCCACAACCCCTTGGCCCTCAAGGGAGAGGGAGTCCAGAGTAGCCAGCAGTGGGTCAAAGCTGGTGCCTAGCCCTGTGATGCTTGCACCCAGCACACCATTGCTCGGCCCTTCCCAGCTCCTGTGCAAGCTGGAAGGTTCAGAGTCAGAGAAGCCCATTTGGTCTCCAAAGAAGCTGCTGTGGAAGGACATTTTGGGCTCCACGGCAGGCTGGCAAACGTATACTGACTCATCTTGACTCATGAGTGCCCCTAGAAGAGAGCCAGGGTCTACACCATCGCCTATCAGCCTGTCAGTCCGACTCTTCTTTGACTTACTGCCATTTTTCTCAATGCTTCCATCTCTAAAGCCCGCAATGGGATGGTTGGACTGGTAGAGTAGGGCCTCACCTGTAGCATAGGTAAAAGGTAGATGCAAGGAGCGCTTACGTAAGTGTTCTCCTCCCTCTTCATCCCTGTAAAGACAGAAAACATGATTATTGTGTGGGGACGTCGTCGTGGCAATTCATTTACAAAGGATCAAAGTTTCTAGCTATGTTGCTGGTTTGGCTCTCCATGACTCAAGGTGTCTTAGAAGTCTCACATCGTAACTGAAAACAAGACCCACTTCCCTCTTCAGATAAACTCTTAAACTCCCTGCATAAATATGATCAAACATGTTTAATATACATGTGCAGTGTATTATATAAGTTTTGTTGCTGTAAACTTGTTTTGTCTGTCTTTGAATACAACTGGTAAATTTTGTAGGTTTAAACCACAACATAAACAAATAGGAACATACAAAAGAGGCCTCTGGGTCGCGATGATGTAGTCTGGTTTGCCGTTCTTGTACACCAGCCTGGCATTGGCCTGGACCCATTTCCAGCGATTCTCCTTGGTGAGGAGCCTGAACACAGTCAGACCACTCTCTCCAGTCTTCATCACTACAAATATGGAACACAAACACAGTTATAAGAAGTAAACTGTATTACAAAATGAATATGAACCTACTGAAAGCCCCACTTCAACAGTCACTGTTAGAACAGAGGAGATCAGCTGGCCCTTTCGTGTAGAAGTTCTACTTGATGAAAAAACACTGACCTTTGCCCTACAGTCAGGAGAGAGTGGTTAGTAACATATCTGACCTCTGAAGTGTTTGTGTGTTGGTGCTGTTGTATGGATCATCTCTGATGCTTTGCTCATGCAGTGGATTTGTGAGACCTATATCCTCTCCTCTGGCAGCTCTACAGCTTTGCTCTATCTGCTCCGTAATCCAGCAGGATTACTTGCGAAAGCTGTCTGAACTCTCTGACCAGGTTGGACCAGATCTTCTCAACTTTTTTTGACAGCACTAAATCTAAAATAGCAACTTGTTTCTGTCAGAAAAACATCAAAGATGGATGTATTCTTTTTACATACTCTCTTCGTAATTAAACAGCTCCAGGCTACATAACAATAATCTCTTAGCAAATGAAGTGACCTAAAAATGTGATAAATCATGTGTGTCCTTGTGGTACTGGGGTTTAAGGCACTAACCAGGTAATTGCAGTGGCCGTGGTTTGACGTCAACCTTCTCTTGCTCACCCATCATTTCATGTCAGCTCTCTACTGTCTACTGTAAGGCATAAAATGACCCTTAAAATGTGTTTACATGGGTAAAGTCTTGAAATGACCCTCATCAAAGTGTTTGGAGAATACTGCATTCTGTGAGGTGAAGAGAGTTTCATTGTCAAAAAAAAGGCACTTTCACCACTTTTTGCACAACATATAATGTGATTTTCACTTTCCTAACTAATATGTGGTAAACACTTTGGTTTGCTTTTTATGGACTTTATTAGATAGTGATGATGGAAATGAGGGAGAGACAGATGCAACAAAGGTCCCCAGCCTGACTCAAACCAGGACGCTGTGGTTTATGATCGTTGTCTTAACCCCCTAAGCCACGGGGGCACGCTAATAAAACTTACTTCTGACATGGTTCTCTGCACAGTGCAACATATCTGCTGCATGGATGAACTGATAGCCAGATCCTCGTACCCGCAGCTCTGCCTCTGTGTACCCTAGTACTATCTTCCCCCTGTTTAAAAAATACACAATTTATTTTCAAAACATTGTTATTAGTACACGGCACAGCTTACATCCATATCTGGTGATTGATCATCAAAGTACTGCAGCAAAACAAATACAAAGGGAAAAAAACCCACACGTGCTATCCATTCAATCAGCCTAATTGTGAAGCATCTCCAAATGAATGTAAAATGAATTCCTGGTACTATTACTTTATCCTCACAAGAATCAATCATCTTAACCAGCCAAGTGACAATACTAGTGATACGGCACATAAAACACAAAGGACTGAGAACAAACAAATGTTACATGTATGGTGTGTTCATGTCACTGTTGCATGTCAGTTAGCAAAGTGTTAGCCTACTTTGCGTCACAGGCAGTAGGTGTGAAGTCCAGCTTGTGTTTGGTTCTGAAGATCATGTTCTTGGTCCTGATCTCCAGGATGGATGGAGGCTGCAGGGGAGTTGCAATGGCAAAAAGGGCAAGCTGAGGCGGGGCCTTTCCTCCATTTTCCTGCCGCTGGTTCTGTCCATGCAGAAACTTCAGTCTGCCCTGGATGTTCAAAGCCTGTAAAAAAGGAAAACAAAGGAAATTGTTAAAATAGTATTTTGTATAAGTCCTTCAAATGGGTTAATATCTGAGAGACTGCAGAGCCCCATTTATCCCCACAGTAGCTAAATTTACTTTCGCTTAATAATCCATTATTAGCAACTACCATTGCAAGGCATTACTATGATTGACATGTTTCCATGGGTATCACAATAAATGTGATGGAGGTGTATTTTAGGATGATGCACTCCTATCTAGTGCCACTACTGTACTGTATTTATATGAAGCCCATGGCTTTCAGTGTAATCCAATTCTCAATTCTCTGCTGTCCATCCATGTACTGCATATGTTCTGAACGCTTACATTTTTAACAAAAATGTAGATAAAAATAATGTTTCCATCTCATTACACACACACACACACACCACATACTGTAAACTATAAGAGAGAAAAGAAAACTAGGGCTGTCCCTGACTAAGGATTTACATAGTCGAATCAGAATCGTCAAGTCTTGCCTATAGTCGACTGTTACACATGGTAGCTTCGCTTTAATCTTGAGAAGCTGCAGAGCTGCAGTCTCTATTCATTCAACTTACACTGTACATTTCCAACTAAACTGAGGCTTTTTGAAGACCGTTTTCCCTCTCTCTCTCTCTCTCTCTAATTCAAATAGCCGACTATTTAAAAACGATATAATATTTTTTGTGTGGTTCATCAATGGTGAGTTATCCGAAAGTACCACGAGGTGCGGACAACTGGGCACAACACCAGTGAAGCCGGGGCTCGGTCTCTTCAGCAAGTGTTCCTCTTCTGCCACTACCTACACTTTAGGCCTACACATGTGCACTGACGACCCAGGGTTAGGGTTACAACTTTGGATTTATTTAAGCACTTAAAACATTTATTGAATGTTTTATTCTTTTTGCATGTTTATTTACAGCATTAAACGTTGAAATGTGTATTGTAATAGGCTGTTATTGGGAGAAAACTGGTAGTTCTATGTAAAATCAGACATTGAGCACCCCCATATCGCCAAAATGGCATGATCCTTGTTTCACTGCGAAGCTTCGACTGTGAGATTGACAGTCGAATCAGGCTCCGCCCATCAAAGCATTGAACCTTTGACTATTCGGGGTCAGCCCTAAAGGAAACAATCCTTTAGCTCTTCCTCTCTCAAGCTTTAAACCTTTAAAGGCATTTAAGAAGACCTATGTTTTTGATAATTTTTCTTAAAAACAGTTTAATGAGCGCTGTAGTATTTCTATATTATTTTCTATTTCACCACCATCACCCACACTTTGAATTGCCTTGTTGTTGAAATGTGCTATACAAAGAAACTTGCCTTGCCTTGCCTATAATCTAAAAGAGCTACATATGTCTTATTTACGGTTCACAACAGTGAAGAAAAAATAATTATCAGGCATCACGAGTGAAATGGTACATCTGTGGGAGCAGGTGCAAATTTTGGGAAATCATGCTGGACTGTATGTCTATGAAAACCATTGCATGAAAGAACAGTCCCACACAGACATGCAGCACTATTTGCAGCAAACAGGTCACAAGTCCAAACTCTCATGTCTCAAGCTCTGGTAAAAATATACATTCATCCTGCAGGTTTTCTCTCTTTTGTTGGAACATTTAACCAACCAGAAAGCCAGAGGAGTTGTCCAGTAGGCAGCGAAAGCGACACATAAAGCTCCTCTCCAGGAAGGACGAATTCTCGGGGGGAAGCTGTTCAGGGTTGTAGGTGACCACAGCTGAGCTGCTGTCCGGTTCCATCTCTGTAATTACAACAAGTACAAGCTGATGTTAGTGACACTGACTATAAAGTATAGTTAGTTTAACATTCAACAATTCTCTACAACTTTGTATTTCTATACAGCTCCCTATCGCTCTGATTTTGACTGGTATTGGAAGTGATCCTCAGCTCACAAACTACTTAGTTTCAGTTGTAAATATGTCACATTATGAAAGCCAAAGATGCTCTAACCACCATTTCACTGTTACTTAGATTACAAAAAAATAAGATGATTAGTTTGTACATCAGTGCAACGGTCCTGGTGTGTTAGAATCCCTTAAGGTCACAAATGTGAAAATTAAGAGCACAAACAGTGGCCCCGCATCATGCCACTCTGTATTTATTCTTGAGCTGGACTGGTTGTTGTCTCATATCAGCTGCCCTACATTGTACGAAATGCACTTATGTAATGAGCCCTGAAGTCTGTCTTAACTCACCAAGCAACAGCATTTGTTGCAATTAAAGGAATAATGTTTTTCAGTACAGGAGTGGGTTTGTTGTGTCAACCATAAGCATCTTAAAACACAAATACAGATCTGGGATCTTCGCCTCTTAAGCCACAGTGAAGATTACAAGGGTCGTGACCTGACCTGAGGATGGTTTAATAGCTTAAAGGGTTAGTTCTAGTAGTGTGAGGTACTTATCCATAGTCAGTGTACAGTGACTTATAGGAACTGGTGATGCAAAAAGAGGAGTCATTCCAAAGGTTTGTACAAAGCGTCTGCAAAAGATGGCCATGAATCCTTGCAAACTTTGCAAAATATTACTAATCAATTTTGCAAACACTACTAGGAACCAAGGTCAAATAAAACTGACCCTCATCTCAACAAACCAACCTCCCAGCAAATATGATTATGCCTTAATCTGGTGTGTTTGCCCAAACAAGGTTTTCAGTTTAGAAACCTGTATTCAGTCCTACCAGGATCTCTCAGTTTTGTTGTGTTCTTAATAACAGACTCATGTAGGTACAGAGAGTGATCACCTTGGGGGGAGTCCTGCGTAATGGCAGATGCAGCGGCAGGAGGATTCAAAGCCCAGTGCAAGTTTCTCCTGAGCTCCTGCTGGTCCTCTGTATGGACCAGCTCATACACACTCTGGTGCATGACATCCGTCTGAGAAAAAACAAAGAGGGAAAGAATGATCTTATGCTAAAATAAACCAGTTACATGCAAGTAGAGACATACAGGATGTAGATAAAATTATACACCAGAAAAATAAAAAGCAACAAACCCATTATAAAAATATGAACCATATCAGACTGCACTGCAGTCATCAGTTTGTCAATCCCATCTATACTGTTTGTCTATCATCTCCCTGAATAGCTTCCGTTTTTTACTGCTCCTCCTCATCAATGCAGCTTGTCTGTGTGCCATTCATTGTCAGAGTGACTAGATAGCTTTCTTTGTCTTATTAAATCATCTTTCCGGTCTTCTACACTGATGCCCCTGCAGGTTGGACTCAGAAAATGTCTCCTCATTCATCTTGATATTAAAGAGTTGATTACCTCTTAATAGCTGGCACATGCTGTCAAGTGGCTTTCAACATAGCAATGACAAACAAAAGGGGTTAATATTAAGTTTCTTTACATTGTAACTACCTTTCCTTAATCATGGTGCCATCATTATGCCATATCCAGTTGATTATGCACAATGGGAATGGGTGTTTCTTTGAGCAATGAATACAAACTACAAAAGGTTGAAATATCTGCCATGGATGTTTGCTGTCAGAACGTCACTAGCTGGTAGCTGGTTGTCCTCATAGAATGTTTCATAGTTAGGCATAACTAAGGTGTTGCTACATGGCAGCTAAGGCACTGCTAGATTAGTGTATTTGTTGTTTCTGGGGCATAGCGGTTCAGAGGGATGTTTATTTGGATGTTCATTGTGTTGCTTGGTGGTTTCCAGGGTGTTTGGGGGTGTTGCATGGTATGGACAAGTTACTAGTCACCTGGGTGTGCTACTCTAAAGTTTTTGCAGTCAGTGGTATTAGTGTTGTAGTTGTAGCAGCAGCAGTAGCAAGTAGTAGCAGTAGTTCCATAAGCTCAGTGTTTGTGCCTTCAGCAGTATGTATGAGAAAACTCTCCCTGTAGTGTTTACTTCTTCAAACTCTCCCTGCAGTGTTTACTTCTTCAAACTCTCCCCGCAGTGTTTACTTCTTCAAAACATGAGTGCATAGGTGCACTGAGCTGTCCAAAGAGTCTCAGTGTGTGCTGCTCAGTTGAGCTGTGGGGCAGAGATGTGTTGTTTACTGCAGCTCTCTGCTGTGACTGGTGGTTTATACAAAATGCCAAGCTATAAATAGGTCAGGTCAGGTGCTGTTGTTTGAGCCTCTGACTGTGCACCATGCAGGGACCAGACCAATGGATCAAACAAGACCCCTGAACTGCTCCCATCAGATGCTGCACGCAAGCCTTCAATCCAGACCCATGTATCAGTTGCTGAAACAGAGCTTCAACATGTTGAATGTGATAACATATGTGCCTCTATGGATTTGCACCTCTCTGTGTCTAACTATGTTTCTGAAAATGTAAGCAAGATTTAATAGGAATGATGTAATTAAATCATGATGCTAAACATGATGGGTTCAAATGTTAATTAATATGTTAAAATCCCAAATTGATCTGTTTTCAAGTACGCTCTAAAGCATAGGCATCAACTGTGTGTGCAGTTACAGCAGCTACAAGCTCTTGTTTACATGATTTTCTTTCACCACTGGCAATCCAACAAGATGCTGGAACATGTGCACATGGGAGAAGTTTGCCCTCAGGGCTTTCTGCCAGAAAGCCTTCCTATTTGGTTAGGCACCAACACAACTTGGTTAAGTTTAGAAACATAGAAAGGCAGAAAACCTTTCTGACAGAAAGCCCTGAAGGCAAATTTCTCCCACGTGCCAAAACTACTCAATTGTCTGATTTTGAAAGCGAGTTTCTTGAATGTCGCGGGCATGATGATGGACATGTAACAGACAAGGTAGCCAAGCAAGCACTAGCCCTATTCTTACACTGTAAGCATTTGGACCCAGGAACTACTTTAATATATAGGTTTACTGGAGCTCAACCCCATGGCCCCAGTATTTTGGAGGCTCCCAAAGAAAGTTGAGCAAATTTAAATTGCTATGGCACTACTGATGTAGAACACAATTTAATTTTCCTTCCGCTCCGTCTGATGGTTTCATATTACTCGCAATTTACCTTCTGGAAAGGAAACCATTCTCATTGGATGTATCTGTTGATCACCTGACTCTCTTCATGCTCATCATATTCTCTCAAGAGTCTCCTGATTATGGAGACACATCTGCCCTTCCTGGGAGACAAAGCTAATAAATACAGACTGCAAGTCAAACCACAGGTGTTGATGGTATATGAGCTCTGGCGACCCACATCACAGTGTGGATTTCGCTCATGTCTTCACCACATTAGAGTGATTCTCCTTACCCCTAGGCTGTTTCAATTTCTTATTCTGATTGTGTTATCATTGTTGAGGAGTGATGAAAGAATTATTGGAGGGGAGTAGAAGTCAGAGATAAAGAAAAAGACTGGCACCAATGCAATACCTGGTGGAAACCCAAGTAGTCCTGGATGGTGTGAGAGGAGTAGAAAATGGTCCCATTGGAAGTGATGACCAAGACAAAACCATTGAGAGCCTGTGGGTCAAACAAAGGATGCACACAGACAGTTAGCAGAGACCGTTTCTTTTACTAATGATTCAGCACAATTTTTGGCACACACCAATAAAGAAAAACAGCAGAGTCAGGGGTCCCGGTGGCTCTACAGAGTTCACTCACATATATCATTCACCTAACAACAGACTGCTCCTATTAATTATCCTTAATTGTTGTTACTTACTGTTATACTCTACTGTTTTAGTGTCTAGATTTTGTTGCACGTGAGTGAGTGTGTCTTTTTGTATTAAATGTTTACTTTTGTAAGTGTGTTTGATGTTTGCTGTATATTGTGTAGTCTTATATTACAGTATGTTTCTTGAAAACGAGATGGTACATCTGAAGGGTTTTTCATCCTGGAAATAAATTTCTATGTTATATACCCCTAATAATAGATTCGTGAAAAACGGAAAAATGACTATAACCTACCATAATTGTTCTGCTTGAATGATTGTGATTATGGACAAGTACAAATTAGAGACCAATGTAGACCAATGTTTTTCTTGCATAAGGATTTTCAATATTATATAATATTTTTTGTTCCTTGATGCATGTGGATATTAGTCAAGAAAGATGAAGCGAATGGCTATATACAATATGACACCTGTCAACATTTTGCCTTTATAAGCTTTTGACTGATATGAACTATTTTATGTCTTTTATTTCTGTAAAATTTCCTCCATTTGCCACAGCTGCAGTTGTTTATCAGCGTGAATATTCAGGTTTGTGATGCAGCACTACAGTAATATAATTGTTTGGCTAACAATGGGAAGTAGGAAGGAAGGGAATGAAGATCTAGGAAAGGGTAGGAGGAGACATAAAGGATAATGTGGAAGCATGTCAAGTGAAATGTCGCACACTCATTGTTTCTCTTAAAAAGGGAACAGCTGGTCCAACATTTCCACCTCACTAAACACACACGTGCCCTCACCCGGTAAACAAACACACAAACACATTAACAACTGTCCTCACACATCCACAAACATCTGTACGAGCGCAATCATTTCGTTTCTAAATCAGCCCACAGGGTGCCAGCATGACTAATACTGGAGATGCCATGTTATTCTTTTTGATAATACAACAGTGATTCACTGCAATTATCTGCCACACTTCCTCCAAAGTAAACACAAACACCCAAATGTCAAGGTTGAGTTCTTCCACATAAACATCCTCCAAATGGATGCTAAATTCAGTTTCAGTTTTTCAGTTTCTCTAGCTAAATAATTTAACCTCTTGTTTAATTTCCCACAAAGTTTGTTCAAATTTAGGATAATTCCAAAATGGTCTGTTGCTGCTGGAACCCAATGTGATGTGAAAGGCTGTGCAACCATCAGAAATTAGGCCATATCCTTTAATACCAGATTGTGTACTCATGATGTGCACTCATTAACCTCCCAGCTGCAAATGATTTGATTTAGTCATGAGCATGAGCAAAAGAAGGGTGATGGCTTACATGTTTTGTATTAAAATAAATAAAACTAATAAAAGAAAATGCCAATCTACATTGTCAGAGCAGGTCAGTTATTGTCAAAAATAACCAATTGTGTGTGATTATTTTCAACAATGACTAAAAAGTGAACACACAATTAATACATTCTGCCATGTTTCCTCCATTTTCTGATTCTGAATAATTGATATGCTCACAGCTCCTCTATAATTCACCACCGTCTGATGTGACGAACAGCAAAGAAACCAGCTCAGTTCCAGAATAAAACTCACATTCCTCAGCCTGTGAACTGCTTGCTGTCCATTTCCCCTCTCATCCCAACGATTATAAGCGGGGGGAAGAAGAAGAGGAGACCCCCTGTGGATCACTCACCCTCTTTATCACCAAATGAGCTTTCATTTCTCATTATGAACAAGCTGGGGAAATGTACGCTTATCATAATAATGAAACCTCCCTGGTAGGGTCGGGTATGGCGGACCGGCTGTTTCCTCTCCTCTCCTGGAATGCCAGTGTGATGCACATTGGGAGGAACTGGACTGGAAAATCAATGACTCCAGCAGATCCCAAAAAGATCTGGCAGCCAGCGAGCTCGCTCTCCACTCAATCACACATACAGCATAGAGGGCACAAAACGAGACAGGAGAACCCCCTCCAGTTTTAATGGAATGAACAGCAGCACTGTCGATTGAATTTTCTTTAAAAGCTGAACTGTGACCTGAAATTCCTGCAAAATGTGGAGATTTTCAAACTGAACCCAATGTTTCTGTCATATTATAGCACATATGGCTCTGGTGCAACTCTTCACCATCACGTATAGTAAACCAGACAAAGCATTAAAAGAAATACGTTAGAGGTAGCAACATCACTGCAACAGAGCATAGTAGAGCAGTCAGAGAAGTCAGATGATCAGGACACAGTTTAGTCATTTTCTACACTCTATTACCAAAAGTATGCACACATGGGAAATATTACACTTTTTTGCGATTGTTTAACATCTCATTCCAATACTACAGTGACACCGTCCTCTAGTGGCACAGTGCCACATACTGTGTGGGCAATGTGTTGCGTTGGCTCAACGGGAAAACGCCCATTATGCCAGATTACCAGATTAATCTGAATCTTGGGCCAATATTATCTTATTTTTTAATATAACCCCCCACCTGTAAAACTTCAATTCATAGCCCAGGCTTTTATTTGCTACAATTACTGAACTCACCCTGCCTATATTTGGGATAGGCCTTTAATTCCTTTCGCACAAAGCTATTGCTCAGCAAAGGTGGGAAATAGCCTACAATCATTATTTCAACCAGTATGACTATAATTTGTATAAAAAACTGGCTTTTTTTGTCTCAGTTGTTAACCATACCAGTAAGTCTGAATTGTTTCCGTATATTTAACTGAATGAATGAACTTTGCAGAATCTAACCAAATCTGATGACGTATAGCATGACCATATTGACCAAAGTTCAAAAATTTGTATGTGCAATCTAAGCAGCAAATAACTAGTTCGAGTGGGCGATCAGGTGGGCTTCAAGAGTTTTATACAACCAGGGAACTTCTATAAAAACCAGACCAGGCTTCTAATTGAGCCCTGTGTTTAGTTGTCAAAACGTCTAGCTACACCAGGCCAGTAAAAGGGACAGGTGTCTAATTAGAACTAGGATTTTAATTTACGTTTTACAGTATATAAGTCCAGTGCTGTCTTTAGGTCAAGTCCCAGGCACAAGTTTTACCCACCTGTTCAGCAGCAGACTCGCTTGACTAAACAGTAAACTAATGTTAAACAGGGGCACAGCAGACTGTGCCAGACATTTTGAGTGTATTGAGCTGCCCTGACCATGTGGGCCTCTGTCACTGGGCTGAATATATTTTGGGCAGTTTTTGAAAAGAAGAATATAAAAAGAAAATACAGGAGCTGCCCAGACACAAATTAAATCAACACAGTTGCTCGACAACAATTGTTGTCTCTCAAAACATATTTAATATTTAACAATCTCAGATATTAACCTAAAATCAATTAAAGAGATGATAACTTTACAATATATTGTAAATAGAAACAGTATAGTAACAATAAATACAGCTTTAATACTGACCTGCAGCAAAAGTTCACCTTCAGGAATCTTGGTCTCCACCACTCCTGCTGTTTTGCTGTCACCATCATCCACAGCAGCTGGAGACACTCCGTTCCGACTGTTCAGGGCAACTGTAGAGAGGGGCCGACATAAAGGGAGGTGGGGGTGGTGAGGAGAGGAAGACAGGTTTTTCTCCTGTGATAATGTTTGCAAAGCACTGCTGTGACTGTCATATTGCCTTATGTTTCATACGCTAAAGATGCTGCATGCACGCCTGATCCCAGCTCATTAAATATTCATTACATGCGATCTAAAAGTCTAAGTCATCAAATCCAGACATTTTATTTTGTCTAGCCTGCTAACATCATGATTTCAATGACAGCAGCACATCAGTGATAGACATTACAACAGAAAAACACATTTCTTTTTGTTGCTGTCCTACAGATGTAAACACTTTGCCGTTTGATGTACTGTAAATAGGCTACTTTACATATTGACTAAAGTGAATGAATATGAGTCTTTGACATCTTCAGCCAAACAAGTTCACACAGGGCTATCACCGCTAGGTAATCTTTCTGCATTTGCAGTATACCAGAATTTTTAAATCTGGTGTCTGTGGCGACACTCCCATGCTGGCGAGTGATGTGTTTTGTGCCAACCAGCAATGATTGGTTGGCCAGAGCTGAAGGAGGAGCAACCGTTGTGTCAGCAAATGCTTTCTTTCTTTCCCAGAAATGTGTTGTTGCCAAATTTGAGTGAGATGAGGCGACAGTTCCTTCAGGCGTCACTATTTTTGCACTATACTGCTCGCACAGCTCAGCTCAACCCCCTCCCCCTCCATTCTTGTATCCAGTATAACCACTCCCCCTGCTCCTGCCCCACTCCCCTCTGCCGACCCTCCCTGTCTCTGCCACCCAGCCGTTCATTGGCTGGTGGCCCCAGCTGTTCTTTTCCAAATGGTATTCTCCTTTTCCCACTGTGACGTCATAACTTTTTGTCCCTTCCAGCCATCCAGCTCTGGAGTGAGTTTGATTTTGGCCTTTAGAAAAAGAGCAATAAACTAAATAAAATTGGCCCAGTATAATTCGGGAAAATGAGCTTCACTACTAATAATGCTGTAGAAACTATGACCCAGGGAACCTTGATAAAGTGAGATACTTAAGTCCAATATATATATATATATATATAACCAAAATAAATATATAAAAACAAATATTCACAAGCCTTTTTTTTTCAGTCTTCAGTCTTTTTATAATCGTCTTTGTTGTCCAGATTAATTTACATGTTGGAAAAACTGTACAATCCAATACAAAAGCCCTTCAGAAATGTCTAGATTTATGTGCATTATAATGTTCAGTGTCAGTAGACACTGTATTCAAAAGGGGATGATTCAACTGTGTGGTTGTTATGAGGCTGTGATTAGTGGTACTGCATTACATAAACGTAATGCTTCATTCACTCAAAAAACTTGCCTCTGAACATAATCCAGGTAGCAGTTACATTTCTTACTACAGTGTAATTAGGAAAACTATTTTGTAACATGTAAATGTCATTTCTGCTTGCTGGGAGACAGGTTTGACCTAATAAGCTGTCAACTCAGTGCATTTAATTAATTTTATTTTATATAGCTGAGTCATGTCTACTCTTGTTGCTCTTTGAGATTTTGTCTTACTGGTTTTGTAAATGCTCCGTATTTGTATAGCGCCTTTCTAGTCTTTGCGACCACTGAAAGCGCTGTTACACTACATCGCAATCACCATTCACACACATTCATACACTGGTGGAACAGCCACCAGGGGCAATCGGGGTTCAGTATCATTGACATGCAGCCTGGAGGAGCCAGGGATTGAACCGCCGATCTTAAATAAACAGGCAACCTCTTGAGCCACAGCCGTCCCATATTGTCTTGCCTGACAATAACAAAAATAAGTTATTTATTTGTTACTTTTGAAGTTGTCTAAAAAGACATCACTTTAGACTCTCTATGATAGACATGACACATGACACCAGCATTTCCTTTGTGTGAAATCATCAATAGCTGACAATATATCAGCTGATTGATGATAAAAAAAAACATATAGTTAGTTGCAGCTAATATTATCATAACAATCAGTTATTTCTTATAACGTGAGATGATAAGCTGCAGTGATGTCATGAGAAAGAGAGCAGTGGTCAAACACATTAATCTCTGACCCCCACAAGAGCATCATGCTGCGACCCGTGATGAACTTTGATCCTAAAGGTGACGTATGACATGATTGGGTGACAGGGTTCTAGGTCAGATCTTTTGTTGTCTGCTAAGGGGGTTAACAAGGAGTCCATCTATGGGGTGGGGCGGTGTTACGAGTGTTAGAGCAGTTACTGGATAGCATATGGGCTTTGTGTGGGGAGTCCGACGTGGCTTCTACCTTTACACGAGACAGAGCTTTGGTTGGACACCCCTGACCTTATTCCCGTACAGACATCTTGGATCGACTTTTAGAGGACTGCTGAGCACAATGTGTGACATGATCCAACATATTTGTGAGGAAATGGCGCGAGCAAGGCATGCTACACTCTAGCATGCTAGATAGGCTTGAGTGTGTCTTTCTTGTCCCATAAAGAAATGCAGGAGCTATTCACAGCTGGGAAATAAATGGCTGCCAGGCAGCTTGGAAAACAAAAGATTCAAAATTGTGGTATATTCATGGTCTGATGGTTGCTCGCACATAATGTAAGCACAATGTCCCCAGTTTAATTATAGTTCTTTGATGCATCGATTTCCTTTTGATCCCTTTGTTTGCTGTCTGTGCCCATGATCAGCTATCACATAAAAAAATACAAATGCCAACTTGTGCTGAAACTTCGGTCAGTTAATACATTGGTCAACAAACAGAAAATTCTCCCACAACAATAATTCGCTGGTTCCAGCTTCTTCAATTTGAGGATTTGCTGTTTCTTTGTGTTATATTTTTGAGTTATACACATATGTAAAATAATAAAACATTACCACTTTCTTGGAAAATCATTTTAATTGCTATTCTTTAGTTTAAGTGCAAGTTTTCCTATTTGAATTTTTTTTAACAGACCCTCTTGAATTTATGAAATATCTCACATGCTTCCATTAATGATTAAAAATAATTAATTTCTTTATCTGACAACTGCCAAAAGTGCATTGTCAACATGTCAGATGCAAACTGTGCATTTTATGGTGCTAACTGTGATCGTCAAATGATCTTAACATGCTTTCCTCGCTTGTAATCCCAAAACAATTATGTCTGGATCACAAAATAATTATTTTGTGACCATGACACAACAGGCTTTATTTATCTTCTCGTGATTGTTATAAAAACATTTGTGAGACTCTGGTGTGATAATTAACAGATTTAAATCAAACTCTAATCTAACTAACAGTTCCCTACCACAGTCAAACAGGCACATTATGAATCTCTAATTATATTATTGCAGTGCCTTGTGTCATTTGGTCGCTATAAACTCCTGTAAGCTTATTGTCGACTACAACAGGCTCACTATCAATCACTAAAACAACATTGCAGGAACATTATGGGAGATTCAGTGTGGTTGTGCTGCAGCTGTAATCACTAAAGGCAGTGATGTCTGCTGATGATTACCACGGTAGAATCTTACATGTTTTTATTCGAGTGATCACAAAAACACTTTTGGTTAATGTCAAAACTAAACTGTTTTGTCATCACTACAAAACAAAGTTTATTGCATCAAGATAATTATTTCCAGATTATGAGAAAACAAAGGTTGTTAAGACAATATACAAATCATTGCACTGACATGCTTCCCATTCATCATGTGTGTTTGTATTTTGGTGGTTTAGACATTTAGAAACCACAGGTACATAGCAGAATCATAATTCAGCCAGAATAAGTGGGCCAACATAAAGCCTGTTCAATGGCCAGAGGATGACAAAGGGCAGATCTTGTTATCAGGCTTCAGTAGGCACAAGTGTACATAATGAAAAATTTACATTCCCACTGCCATCACATTTATGTGGCATAATAGCACGCCAGAAATCACCCAGAGGCGTTTCCAGTGAATTTAATAGAACAGCTTGGCTTTCCCAAACATGCTTCTCTTTATATAATGGAGCTCCAGAGTTATGGCACAACAAACAACATATACACAGAAGTGGCCTACTATGACATGGACAGGTCAGTCCCCACAGCCGCATTCAACTTTTTCTGCCTACTCTTTGAAATGGATTGAATTAAATTTAAAGTACAGGTCAAATTTTTCATTTTGGAGGATGTTTTTTTCCCTGCTGTCCAAGTTAGTGGCTTAACAGACAATATTTCATTAAAAAAAAACACAAGAGTTTATGTCATTGAATTGTTAAATAGCTTGCCTTTAGAACATATGTTTGCTAAAACTCTTTAATAACTAAACTTAGTAGGTTTTCTTCAGCACAGCAGAAACACTTTTTGAACACAACATTGACATTTCCCTTCCATCCATCAACTTTTAAAATGATATGGTGAACTTGTTAGCATATATATAGCAACATTATCATTCATCTTGTTTGTGGCCACCTGATTCAATATGCACTCTCTTTTTGCTTTCTTGGTCTCTACCAACTCCTGAGGGAAATATCTTGCTCTTTAGCTGCTAAATGCTCCACTATGTTCACTAGCTAGTCTCTAACTGTGTCTGCCTGCTGTTTGTTGCTGAACAGGTAGTGTACAGTGGGTTTTTAGAGCTTTTTCACTGAAAACAGCTGCCTGCTGCGGGAAAAAAAAAAAAGCCGACACTATGAGAGCAGTGAGAGTAAACCATAACAGTAATGTTGGACAGAAAAACAATTAGCTTAAACTCACTATAAAGCTCCATAAAGCTGCAGCTTTCCAATACAGTTAGTTTGTTTTCTATTTCTATGTCATAGGGTTGGGCGATATGGTCACTATGCAACAGTAGAAATGTGTCCACCGATATAGATTTGGCAATACCGTTTCCACCACAGGAGTTGTCCCTGAGTGTCTCTGCTATATCTTCAGGTCAGGCTTTAGGGAGCTGAAGTCCCTACCACCATGGGATCTTATTTTGGAAAGAATATGTATGGTAGTCAATGGCCAGAGACAGCAAATGTTTTGATCCCTTTTGAATTGTGCACTGAATCGCACAT